TCTAGACTAACGCCACTTCAGATTCCTACACTATGCCTTTACAATTCTCTATCATAACTATCCTTCTGGCAGGATACTACCCTAGGTGGAACTAAGCATCAAACAATCTTGGTGAACACAACAGCCTATGTGTTATTAATAGGAAGACAACTTTTCATCGTTCACTGACTACACTAACTGTTTCTCAATAAGTGGAGCACATCCTATGAAAGTAAAGTTACAGAATACCAATGAAAGGTATTTGCAATATTAGAAAGAGGAAACTATTGTAATGATATAGAAAACACATTTTTTCTGGGAAAAAAATTGATTTTTGCACGAGTCACTATTATCTACAATGATATAGCAGTTCAGCTCAGTTGTTTCTTTGGTAGAGATTCATCCAGTAGATTATCTGTTCTTCCAGGACTTTTAAAGTGTATTATATTGATAATAAGTTTTATATATGCTTCTACTATACAAGATTTACTGTGGTTTAGTGCCCAGTGTTTTTGTTGTTGGAGCTGGAGATATAAAAAAAGAAATACACCATATTCAGTAAATTGTCTTCTCATCACAAATCCTACCAACTGTTTCTGAAAAGCTACAATAAAACTTGCACTAGTATAGCTGTGTCAAAATGCATTTTCATAGTTTCCAATACACAGTGCTAAAGCAAAAGACTGGCTGTAATTTACAGAAAAAAACCTGATGACAGAAAACATTAAATTATATACAACTTCTTGTAATATTTGTTAACCAGTACATACACACACATACAAACCCACAGTAAATCATGCAATAACTCAGAGAGGCTGGTAGTGCAATTTTTGTGTTGTAGTGACAGGTTCTCACACCAAAATAGTATGAATCTGAATATACTTCCTTTAGTGTGCAAAGCTATAATTACAGATCTCAGATAAGAAATGTGAAATTATTTTACACAAGTCTCAGAAATCTGCTTCGGCAGATTAAATTTTCTGTTCTGTCTTATAGGAGAAAATGACTGTACAAATACATCTAGTGTATTGAATAGAGTAGGCAGAATATTACTGTTATTCTTCGGTCTACTTCCATGATCACTTTTTATTTCTAAATTCTGAAGCCTGAGTTATGAAGGAGATACAATGTAAAGGTCAGTTTCTTATGAATACAGCTTTTTGCTTAGCAGCTGTCAAGTCCATATGGAGCCTTATATCACATAAAAATCCCACTGAAATTGCCAAAGTCAGCAAAAGCTTCATAATAATCGGCTGGGGTCAAACTTGCCTTTAAATTAAGAGAATATGAAAGACCTGTGTTATATAAATGATACATCATGTTAATACAACATTTTGCTAAGGCTCAGGAATTGCAAGCTAACAATAATGAATGATGGATTATGAAAAATTTATTTTGAAGTAACAAAGAACCTCATCAAGAAGAGGTCATAGCACTGTTTAAATCTTGCAACAGTCATAATCTTCAAGGCTTGGTCCCTGTTGTCCCATAAAAACTGGTATTCAAGGTAAAGTTGTGAGGCAAGTATAATGAAAGAAATCTCTGCTGTTCTGATCATATGCTGTAAGAACTGGGGTAACAGATGCCCTGAGTAAGATACTATGAAATAGTTTCTGAAGACTTGTAGAAGTATGAACTAGTTCATTTGATTATAAAGAACCTTAAAAACATTACACAGCTAGAAGGTAGGTGGTCTACACTGGAAAATACATTCCTTTACCAGATCATAGCAATGAAAGATTCTATCTTTTTCCTTTTTTTTTTTCTTTTCTCCTTTCTCCTGAGAATATCTAGTTTATAACATGCATATTATTATTTATTTTTAGCAATATTTCTTTCCTAACTTCCACATTACCCTGGATCAGAATCAGAATGCAGAGGGATATAGTTTGGACTTATTATTTCTATAATGGCGATTCCAGATTCTTTCTCAACAAGATTTCAGGTAGGACGAAAGGAACATTATTATAAAAAAAAAGGAAAAAATCCAACACCACAAAAAATCTCACTTAGAAAGCTTTGTGTCAGATGAACGGAGAAGAGTGGGTTCAGTTTGGGATTTGAGAAAGCAATCCTGTCTTCTCTCATGGTGCAGGTCTAAATAGAAGTTTTCATTCACCTTCCTGGAAGGGTGCAAGGAAGTTAGAGGGTTTCATTAGAAAATGATGCCAGAGGGTATAAATCAACAGAGGAAGACCGCATGCACATGTGCACTGTCTGTGTGAGAACTTCTCTCTTTTGAAAGATGTGAAGTGATGGAGGTTTCTGTCTGTCTGAAGAGAAAGTTGGAACAGGTAAGGAAGTGATACTATTCCAAAATGAGAAGAACACACTTGTATTGAATTTTGATCAGAAATTCTGATCAAAATTAAGTGGATGGAACATGAGCAAGGATGGAAGAGAAGCAAGTATTCAAGTACTTCTGAAGGGACAGAAAGGGTGCTTAAAATATGAAAAGATGTGTTTGAGTTGTGAAACAAGTAATTCTTTTGAAGAGACAAGCCAAAGTAGAGTGGCAACAGATGAAAAATGTTTGCATTCCTAAATGGGAATTAACTGGGGGACTTTGCTGGTACCAATAAAGGTCAGTGGTTTCCTGATGCATGTTACACTTTTGAAGATGTAAAGTATCTCTTTCTCCTGCTGAGTCACCAGTTTAAATGTTATCTGAAGTGATAATAACAGATTTCTGCCTTGGAATCGGACAGTTGGTTTTAAGAGACATCAGTGAAAACTGAGAAGGTCCCAATCCCTGACCAGAAATTTACCCACCAGCTCCCTTGTGCTGGCACTAGAGCTCCAGCAGACATGTGGTGAGCTAGTTCAGGGAACTGATCCAACTGAAAACAGCAAAGAAAAATAAAACAATTAGTTTTCAGCTGAATCTATTTCCTGAGATAATCCTTGAACAGCTGCACATGTGATAGTGCCAGGACTGGCACAAGAGAGACAACAGGAATGCACAGCCAAGACAGGGAGATGACTTACAGGGATCATCAAACTGCAGCCTTAGTCCACTGCCCAGACTAGACCATGAAACGAAATAGCAGTGGTTTTCACTAATTCCGTTTCAAAATGTATGAATCTTGGACTTGTTGGAAATGGATGTGGTATCTCTAAAGCTGGGATTTCAAAGATAAACATTGAACCCTCTTGGGCAAAGCAAGATGAATGAAGCTTGATGTTGACCCACAGTTGCCCATGTTTTAATCTTGAATGTCTGATCATTCTGTTCCAGATGGTATGTCTTGTAAAGGAAAATATAAAAAAAATTAAAAAAAGAAAATGAAAGCTGTCCTGTTTACACAGACTGGCAAAAACTTATGGAGGGACAAATATACTAAGAATTTAATGATTTAATGCATCTTCATAATGCTGGTAATAAATTATTAAAATTACATTTTCAAGATGATTTTAATGATTTGAATAATAAACACAAAAGCTAAAACACCAAAACTTTTAAGTTATACTACAGCATAAGAACCATGTCACCTCAACAACATGCTCAAGATTTAGTAAAGATGTATTTTTATAGAATTTTTATAGAATATTTTTTTATAGAAATTATACTATATGACTTGGAAATAGAATTTCCTACAGAGAAAAAGAGAATTAATTTGCCTGTAGTACAACAGGAAATTATTTTCACATTTGTGGCAAATGTTAGCTCTTTTTTATGGTGAACATTCTGCTTCATAAATTTCCCTGTCTGATTCTTTATATGTTGCCATCCTCATACTTAAGAACACAGGATTTATCCACAGAAAAGCGAGAAGACTCTCCCAAATTTTTTGTGATTGCAACAGGAAAGAACCATCCTAAGACGGTCTTCAAACAAATTTATTTTCATGAATTGTTGAAATTCTATTTTCCTTTAGACATCTAATGAGATTATTTTTAGAGCAGTCTTCAGGTCTTTCTTAGCACTGTGTTCAATTAAATAATAAGCAATTGTAGTTCTTTATTATAGTACTTAATTTTTAACATTTTCTGTCAAAACTGTCTAAATACAATGGAAATGCATATTGTTTCTGTACCATGCAGGCACATGCTATTATGAAACCAACATGTGAAAGTCATCTTCAGTTTTTTTTATTGCACTGTCCGCATAAACCTTCAAATGCAATGAATGAGCAGTCCCTAAAAAATACGAGTAACACAGGTTTTTACTCCATCATACTAACAAAGCGTTGGAAGGTTTTAAGCAAGGATTAGTGACACGACAGACTATAAAGAAAATACTGTGTCAGTGATCCCTCTGGGAGCTGTTAATCCTTAGATCACTGACAGGATCACCTAAAGCTGATCCAAAGACGTATTCTTTCACTGATGGTTCAGTGCATACTTTAAAACAGACAATATTTTGGCATTGAAAAAACAGCTATAATTTACTGTGTTTATTGGATGGCTCTCTATGTCCCTTTAGCCACACATAACTGACCTAAGAGGCTGTTACACTCCGCAATACTGATACCTATCTACTCCAAGATGGCTTATAAATGATTACTCTCTTCCAGTTAAATTCTTTCATGCTCTTAGAGGCCATCATTCACAGATTATCAAAGTGGTACTATTGTCAGAAGGAAAATACAATGTCTTGTAACTGTAACATTAGAGAAGACACCAGGCATTTGCAAATTCCTTTATTTCATGCAAAATTAATGCGGTGGACTGTACCTTTGGAGCCTGTACTGTATGTGTTCTATCAACATAACACAGGAGATTTTTAAACTAATCTAAGGATCTTTAAACCACAGAGAAGATGGATGTTTGCGTATATTAAAACAAGTAAGTGCTGTATCATTCACACACTATAAGTATGTGCCTGACATGCACCCTTGTAAGAAGGGAACAGATTTTAATGAGCAAAGAAGTCACCTCACCAATGCCATCATTTTACACAAGAGTTTTTCATGATGGTTTCAGTAGCATAAAAACCTGGCATCATATCAGAGAAAAGTCCAGAGAAACAACAAGCATGACATTTTAAACAAGTCAAATAAGAAAGCAGGGAAAATTACCTCATACTCCTGTGAGAACTTCAAATTGTCATTTGCTTTCAATCTTTCAATGTGATCTGCAAGTTCCAAGATAGGTATTGGGGGATGACTGGCCATACCTGTTGAACAAGAAAGAAGAACAGAATTTGAAGTAAACTACAGTGATGGCATTTCTCTAAAATTTAGAAAATGCAGTAGTTAGAATGTCTAAAAATGTGGAAGTAGTAAAGATGTCATATGTGAAAGAAGCAGGCAAATAGTTTGGTTACTCAAAGCAGGACATGCTCTGGATAGATGAGCTCTGACGCCAAATTAAAAGAAGTCACCAAGCATATTCCCAAAGCTAACATTCCTAGTGTAAAGGAAAGAGTTACTGTGAGATGAGTCAATGAGGTTAGCTAGGCATGGAAAGATGATACAGTTAGACCTGATGTTGACCTCTGCTTTGAGTAATGACTCTTTATGTCATTTCAAACTCCTTCTCCTGCACTGCATGAAATGGAAACTCTACTGGATTAGATGAGGAAATGTGAGCTGAGAAACAGACACTGAAAGAGCCCTAAAGGGAAGAGAATAGTGTTTTGACAGAAAGCAAAGTGACTTATGCATAATCAAGGAAAACGAACTGGAATAATGAAGGTTACCAAGGTAACCAAAGACACCTGAACCTGCAAAGGAAATGGTAAAAAACAAAGAAACCTCAAACCAATGTAACACTAACTTACAAAATAAACTATAAAAAATGAAATGGATAGCTTGAAGATTAATAATAATGCATCAAGATCTAGAAGACTATGTATTCTGACTAAATTAGAAAGATTTCAATATTTTATGAATTTTTGAGATGACTGACATGCAACTATGAATGACTAGAATAACATGCACCACTGCTTTTAGACAACAGTCACTGAAGACAACATTGGACATCAGACAATTAGAACTTCAAAAATGTTTTCACTAGTAGCAGATTGTAGAGGCAGGGGTTGTACAGTTTGGCTGGACACACAATACTGACTGCACTAGTACCTTAAAATATTCTTAATCTGGAATCCCATTTATCAACCCCTAAAAGTACCTACAATCTACTTCAGGTGTAAACATCTTTGTCCACTGATGAAGATGCTGAGTGAAAAAGAAGAGCTGGGAATTGGAGTTAGAGATGGGTGTGTAAGGAAGTACAGGGTCAGCAAGGCAAAAGAAAGACAGAAAAGATATGGGGTCAACTAGAACAATCTGCCAGCTTAAAATTTGAGAGGCAAAAATTTGTGAACATGTTTGTTTCAAGCTATTTGTCTTCATGACCCTTCTCCAAAATGCTTACATTCTTCTCTTCATGCTTTATACTTTCACACCTAAAATGAAAGTGAGTTTTCAACAGCTTAGGAAGAAATCAGAGCTGGCAAGAAAAAAATAAGCTAGTGAACCCCAGGATCTCTTGAAATTATAAAGGGAAAACACTGATGACTCAAGGGGGCTCAAGCTGGAAGCCATGTTGCACAATGCAGTTTGCTTTGTCACCGTGGATTTCAAGAGCATGCCTAAGACGGTTAACCTGCATTTCCTTTAAACATAGCTGAAAATGACCATGTGATTACAACACAGCCACACTATAGCATTTTTTTTTAAATTTTGTTTTTAATTCTTGTTTTCTTTTTGATTCTTTGACATTTAAGGCATCATACTAGATTCAAAATAATGTCTAGCAGCACTGTCCCTAATTCTTCTGACTCTATACTATGACCCAATATACATTTTATATTGTCTTCATAGCACATCTGTGATAAGACACATTCAAAGTAGATATTAAGGCAAGCTGTCAGTCAACTAACAAAGCAGCATATTCAGATACAACGGGGAGATTTCTTATAAATGTCAATTATAAAATTAGTCTGTAAGTATTAGTTTATTTGACTAAGTTCTGCTTCTCTCCTAATTTCTTTGAAATTTGACTTAGGACTTGGGTACTCTCAAAGTAAGTGTGGGTGACAGTCATCTAATAATTACACTGATTGATCCAGATCAAGCACCCCTATGGAAAATATGTGAGTGAAAAGGCACAAGAGAACTCTAGATTGATCCAGAAATGGAGGTGGACTGATGTACATCTAAAACAGTGCTTCAACAAAGAAAATAGTAGAGACAAAGATGTTTAGACCTTTTCGAGCGAATCGTGGGAGAGAGTTATTATCATATAAGGACTGAGTGGTAGTTTGGCTAGAGAGGGAGGACACAGAGCCAATCAGGGAGGCGTAGGGGACTGAATTACTGCTCAAAGCTGTAAAAAGTAAAAGCCAATCGGAAATGGGAAACAAATTAGTAACAGCAGTAGACCATCATAATCAATCAATCTTGTACATACAGGCACTTCAGACATGCACAAAACAGCATCTGGAAACTCAACTGAGATGTCTAAAAGGTACAGTTACCCTATGGTAAACATAAAGGACATAAACCAAATGAATATGAGTTGCTCATCACATGATGAACCTGACTAAATCACCAGCATCATGAACACAAATCACAATGATTAGCTTACTCTGGAGGAATAATTTTTTAGAGATGAGCTGAACACCCATTCTTTTTTTTAAACTGTTTTTGTTTATATGCTTCTCTATATGCCAGTTGACGCTCCCAAGGGGAGACTTCATATTGAACACTGTGCAAAAATGAAACCTGACATATAACTTTCTTTTCCAAGGCAAAAAAAGAAAATTCAGAAACTGGCAAATTTTAACTGCAAATATATCCTTTCTCCACAACTCATTTTAGGCACTTACACTCGGACTCTGAATAATTTTCCTCAAATAATATTTCGCAGTTAACTTATGAAGTGAAGTAATTGCATTTGGTATATCTTCATATTTTAAATACATAAAATGCACTCTACTGAGATGATAAAAGTAGCTATTATTTTAAAAGAACTGCTGGAGGACTTTTGTTATGTAATCAGTCTGTGAATCATAATAGAATATGCTATGAATGAACATTTTAGATCTTGTCATATCTCATGCAAAAGCATGAGGCTCCTATTGAGCTTATTGTGAACAGCAGGTGTAGAACTTGACTCAAAAGATCCCACTCAAAATACAGCTAAGCTCACTCATTTTTGTGGCTACAAATAAGAAAATACACTTATTTGATGACACACCTCCACATCAATCAACATATGTTATGACAACACAAAAACTTAAAGACAAAATACAGCTAAATTACAACAGATCTTGTGACATGCTAAAATGTCAAAAGAAACACCATGCTGACAACATGCTTTCAAACGTTCTTTTAAATACAGTATCTCTTTTTAAAAAAAGAGATAAAAAACACTTAAAAACTCAAACAAAAAAGAAACACCCCCAAACCACTGCATGCAAAACACAGCTGAAATTGTATTCATTAGAAGCTTTTATTTTCAGATTTGGTAGAAGATTGCCAAATGTGATTGATCTTATGCAGCCTAGTAGTAACCCGTTCACATGAATTAAATGAAAATGTATGGTTTGATTACACCGTAGAATTACCTTCTTGTTAAACTGTGGTAAATACATGACTAAGGAACATGGAATACCATATGTGCCAGAATTTCAAGGAAACACTGAGAAAGCAAGGTCAAAATTCATCTGCGTGTTACAGACACTAAACCTGTTAATTATATTCCTTTATCCCACTGTAACAAGTGGGTGTTTTGGGCTTGTCATTAGTGCATTAAATTAGGATTTTCTGTGTTGTCCATGGTCTATGATAAGGGCTTTTGTAAACGCCTATGAAACACACACTTATTTAGCAATTTGGAACTGTAGGTTGACATGCCCACAATGAACAAGAAGAAAGTTAGAAATAAAACAAAAAGCTTATCTGCCATCATACAGAGTACAATCTAGATGAACTGAAAATGTGACACGTTATTGTCACAGAAATTTCTTTAGGAAATGAGTGGTATTCGAGGTCCACATTAATTAATAGTCTGTGACATACAAACTAACTTATTACATCCTCAGTTTTATTTAATAACACAGAACGACCTTCCACACACTGATCTATGTTGATTAAGATGTTGTATCTTTATAAAAAAACAGGAAGGAAGTGGTAACAGTGGTTGTTGTTACTGATAATTAATTATCCTTATAAAAAAGATAGGAAGAAATACCTACTTAAAATTTGGACATGGAAAATGGAAAAATTGAAAGATGACCCTGATTCAGAAGGAATTTGGCATCCATGAAAATGTAGCAAAAAAAATAGTGTAACTTTATATTTCCTTTTTCATACAGTCAGGGCTAGGCCAGACCATAATCTTACAAAGATAAATTTACAAGACAAACTCTAGAGAAATATATCATTCTGCCACAGGTATTCTAAAATAGTTGCCAATGCACACGTAATACTGCAAAATGATGTCACTTTTATTCCAGAAGATTTTATGTTCTTCAAACTAGATCAACTACTCTTGAATGAGGATAGTTTTTGTTATGTATCAAAGGCTTAGCTCTAACAAGCAGCCTTAGGATCTCCACAGCCTCACAGCAGAAGCACCAGCTCCGAGTGAGGTATAAACGTCACCAGGTGAGAAGAGGGGAAACCTAGTTTTCAGATCCTGTTCTCAAAATGTGAAATACAATAATGCGTTGCAAAGCTACTGGCTAAAATCCAGGAAAAAAAAAAAGGATTATTTTTGTGAGAACAATTTTAAATATCATCTAGCTAAGCATTCTGATTGCCTCTAGGTTTGAAAGCAATGAAGCAGAGTATCAGAGAAGTGTCATTTGCACCTGGAGCCTCTACTTCCTTTAGATGTCTAAATCCTCCGTGTGACACAAGTTCATATGAAAAACTACATGTATGATTGCTCACTATGAGAAAGCATTTCCAGCCTGTTTTTGCCGTGGAGACAAACAACAGTATTTCCTTCAGCATTGTCATGATTCTCATAAACAGATATCGTGTGGATAAACTAAGGGAAGACGTTTCCTGATATCTTGCAAAGGAGGTGACTAAACTCAGACATGACTTTTTCCATCTTTTTGTTTTTATTTGCACCCTTTTCCTTGGATGTGTTTTACACCTTTTCTGCTTTATTTGGGAGATTAATTTGTGGAACTTCTTTAGCAGCTCAGGGAGTGAG